CATGTTTTTGGGTTGGTCTCCAATATAAACCGTATGGGAGAAAGATGTACATCCCGAGCGTCCTAACCAACCCATATCCATCAAGCAATAGTCGGGTATAGGAGAGTTATCCGTATACCCGAACCTACTCGCCAAGTGCATTATCACTCCACCCACAACTATGGTCCCTTTGGCTAAGCTTTCCTTTTTTAAATGTGCCCATATGAGATTGCATAGATTAAAGTCCACGTGGCGACGGAATAAGGCCACGGACATCAAACACACGTCCCCGATTCTAGTGTGATGGTTGTTGGGACGGCCAAGCAAGCAATTCGCCAAGAATTTTAAAAACAACCGGAGGATGGGGTGTTGGACATGACTTATATACATTTGGGAGGAGCTAAAGTCCACTTCCCCAGTCATCTTGGTCCATAGGGAGTGCCCAAAAATGGTGTTATCCGAGATGGCTCTCTCGTAGGGCACCGGGATACCAAAGTGTTCAGCAAACTCGAGTTTCGTTATTGAGTAGTTTCGGTTAAACAGACGAAACTCGAGTCTATCATCCCTAAAATCCGCCTCATCACTTTCAAATTTTACCGAACTCATGAATTCGTAGATAATTCGTTCATTAGAATTGTATTTCATATTGAAAATACGGTCCATATCTAATGCATGAAAGAATTTTCTACAACTCTTATAGACTCCTAATTCTCGTAGAGCATCATGGCATAGAAAACGGGAAGGTTTTACTTGCCTTTTTGTTGTTGCTAGGAGTCTAGTTCGGTGTTCGGCGTCGGCGGGAATGATGTCTTCAAAGCCCGGGATGGGTGCTATGGTGATTGAGCTCTCTCCCCTATTCTTCCTTGGAGCCATTGTTGATGAATTTGAGCTTGAAATCCAAAAATTCGAATGGGGGTAGGGTTTTTTTTGGATTTGTTGGATATTTGGGGAAAAGGGAATTTTTGGGTATAGATATGGAGAGGAGAGGAAGGGGAGTATTTTGGTGGAAGAATGGGTTGATTTGGTGGAGAATTGAGAGAGATATGGTAGAGAGAAGGGTTGAAAATGGAGTTTGGGGGAGAGGTTGTTCGAAATTTTTGAGAGTTTTGGGGAAGATGAAGTGTTTTGGGGTGTATTTGGGGTTATATCCGCAGGGGTACCCGATCGAGTATCCCTGTATACCCGATCGGGTACCGGAGGCAGGGGCATAGAAAAGTTGATTTTCCACTTATACTCGACCGAGTATTGGTATGTACTCGATCGGGTATAGGAGGCAGGGGCTTATTGCTTTCATTTTTTCCACCAATACTCGATCGAGTATCAACCTGTACTCGATCGAGTACAGGAGACAGATTTTCTTCTTCTTCTTAATTCAGTGCATACTCGACCGGGTAAAGAGGTATACCCGATCGAGTATGCCTCCATTTTTAGAAATATATGGCTACTTCGATCGAGTAGTGCCTCGGTTCCTCTTTTTAGATAATACCCGACCGAGTATGAGATGGTACTCGATCGAGTATGTCCCCAGATACTTCAAAACCTGCATTTTCTTCTTCTTCAAAACAAACATGTGATTAGTTCCCTCTCTCTCTTTTCTCTCAAATTTACACAAAAAGGAAATAAAATCTAACTGATTGACTTGGGTTGCCTCCCAAGAAGCGCCTTATTTAACGTCGTGGCACGACGTTTTATTTATTTTTATTTTTTATTTTATGTGGGATCGTGAGCATCCCTTTCGTCATTTCTTTTCTTTGCCCTTTTCCAGTAAGGCCGACCTTTCTTCTTTGTTCCCGACTCAATTAAAGAATTTGGTGTTGATGGTTCAAAAACATTTAAAGAGCAAAGAGATTGATCTTTAATTTGTTTTTTCGTAGAGTCAAAGATATTGAACTCTACTTTTTGGTCATTGAACTCTAAAGTTAATGAACCACTAGACACATCGATTTTTGTTTTTGCGGTCTTTAAAAAGGGTCTTCCCAAAAGGATGGGCGCTGTTTGGTCATCATTCCCCATTTCGAGGACGTAGAAGTCGACGGGAAAGACCATATTCTCTACTTCTACTAGCACATCCTCTAATACACCCTTCGGGTAGGTACTAGAACGATCTGCTAGTTGAATCACTACACCGGTTTGATGTAGTGGGCCAAGTTGTAGGGTTTTATAAACGGAATAAGGAATGACGTTTATAGATGCCCCCAAATCTAGTAAGGCCTTAGGAAATGTGGTGTTTCCTATCGTGCAAGGAATAGTGAACATGCCCGGGTCGTCACATTTTTTTGGAAATTTTTTCTGAAAGACGGCCGAGACATGCTCACTAACTTCAACCTTTGGTTTTCCCTTTAATTTATCTTTTCTTTTTATTACACATAGTTCTTTCAAAAACTTTGCATAACGGGGAACACTTTGGATTAGTTTAAAGAGTGGGGTATTTACCTCACAATCGGCGAAGGTCTTATAGATGTCCCGATCACTCTCTAGCTTCCTTGTATCTTTCAACGCCTCAGGGAATGGAGGGATTGGTTCATATGATGATAGTGGAGGAAATTTTCTCTTCGTTGGCTCCTCCTCTTTGTGGTCAATCTCCTCTTTTTCACTTTCCTTTGCTTGTGATTCCGGGCTACTCCTTAGCATGATGGCATTGACTTGTTGCCTTGGGTTTTGCTCAGTTTGGGGCGGGAGCCTACCCGAATCTCTTGCTTCAAGTCGATTTACAGCATTCGAAATTTGGCTAACTTGAGTTTCCAAATTTTGAATGCTTGACTTTGTTTCTTGTTGAAATTGCACCACGTTTTGTTGTAAGGTGCCCATGGTAGTAGCAAGAGTTCGAATCATGTCTTCCGTAGACATGCTCGATTGAGAAGGTGGGTTGGCTTGTTGAGGGTTTCCATACCTTAAGTTTGGATGATCCCTCAATCCGGGATTGTAAGAATTTGAGAACGGGTCATACCTCCTTTGTTGGTGGCTTTGGAAACCCAAGGCGTTGACATGCTCTGTGGTGTCTTCTTGAAGAGTCGGGCATGAGTCCGTGGGATGCCCGTGTTGTGTACAGATACCGCAGACCTTGACTTCTTGGGTCTTGGATTTTAGAAGGAAATCCTTAACCAAAGAAGTCAAGCCGGTCACTTGACTTGCCAAGCCGTTCACTTGACTTTCCAACGCGTTGTTGGATTCTGCTGCCATAACTCTTCGAGTTGAGGATCGCCCGTTATAGTGTCTGGAGTTCTCGGCCAACTCCGAGATGAGATCTCTCGCTTGGGAAGGGGTTTTGTTGACAATGCCCCCTCCACACGCCGCATTCACCATGCGGCGATCTTGATCCACAAGACCATCATAGAAGTAGAGGATGAGGTCTTGTTCGGTGTATCCGTGATAGGGGCAACTTGCACATAGCTTCTTGAATCTCTCCCAATATTCATATAGAGATTCATCATCTTTTTGTTCGATGTTACTTATTTGCTTCTTGAGTGATGATGAAATAGAAGCGGGGTAGTACCTGTCAAGAAAGGCCTTCTTCATTTGTGGCCATGTAGTGATACTTCCCGAAGGAAGATAGAAAAGCCAATCCTTTGCGGTGTCCTTCAAGGAGAATGGGAAGGCTCTCAGTTTGATCTGCTCCTCGGAAACACCATTGGGGCACATGCTTGTGCACACAATGTGGAACTCCGACAAGTGTTTGTTCGGATCCTCCCCTCGTAAGCCATGGAAATTTGGGAGTAGATGAATTAGCCCAGATTTTAGCTCAAATGTGACCCCCGTATCAAGAGTTGGAAAAGTGATACATAGGGGTTGTTGATTAAGATTCGGAGCTGTGAGCTCCCTCAATGTTCTCGTCTCAAGAGCCATAGTGATTGGCTCTTCGGTCTCGCTAGATTGAGAACTAGCACTTGATGATTCCTCCGAAGAAGTATTCGGAAATAAATTCCTAAACCTTTCGAAGGCTTGTTCCGTTTGGGAGGTTGTTTGGTAGATGATTTCGTTTATAGATCGGGTTCTTACCATATACTCAAACAAAGCTCAGAAGAAATAGAAGTCTTTATACTTCAATTATATTTTTTTCTTTTTCTTTAAAATAAAATAAAAAGAAAAATAAATTGCCTTTCCCCGGCAACGGCGCCAAATTTGACGTGCACTTTGTCGTGAGTGCACTCAAAGTAAATTCAACACTAGCACTTATACGTAGTATAGGTGAAGTAGAGTTCGTATCCACAGGGAAAGGAACAACTTTCTTTTTATATAAATAGTAAGTAAAGGGGGGTTTTGATTGTTGGGTGATTTAATTAAATTTAAACACGAAGATGAACGATTTATATGGGATTCAATTCAAAGATAAAATATACTTGGTATTGCTACTTTCCACTTGTTGATATATTTTAGTCGATCATTGTTATATCTATAACTTATCTCCTCTCGAATACTCAATCGAGGAGTATATCCAATTCATCGAGGATAGTTATTAACAACGACCGTTCATTAATAACCCTTACTATTAGTCAAGTATAGAACAACGCCATATATCGACTTGATAGTAGCATTTAATCTTTTAACTCCTTGATGAAATCAATTGAGATTGATAACCTCAACACAACGGTTTCGGTTTAACCAACAAAATTAATCCCTCTTAAGTTTATTAACCACGACCGTGCATTAATAAACCGAAGTTACTTACTTGTGAAACTATCAACGATTAACCATCGGTTCGTTGATCGTTTCTAGTAATAATTAATATGTGAAACAAAACTAGTTGATCCTTTAAGTAATGTTCAAAATATTAATATGAAATATGAATAGGGATTAATTAATATTCAAGGAAGAATATTAAAGAAGATGAATCCTACTATGGTTAATATCAAGATGTTAACTAATTGTCATCTTAGTAACACTCCCCGATATTAACATAGAGGAAGGAATAGCTATTACTAAGACCAATATCAAGATGTTAACTAATTGTCATCTTAGTAACACTCCCCAACATTGATATAGAAATAGTATTTAAAGGAAGAATTAATATTCAAGGAAAAGAAGTTAAGAAAATAACTCACAACTTTAATAATCAACAAGCTTCAAGAGCAATACCAAGAAATGGAAGTTTAGCTCCTCATTTGGAGACTAAACATGCTAAAAGAAATATAGAGAAATGCTATTCTAAACTGAGCTTAAGAGTGTATATGAATTGGTTTTCTAAAAGTGAAGGAAAGGAGGTGTATTTATAGGCTTTTTGAGGTGCAGGTCGAGTACTCGATCGAGTATATATACATACTCGATCGAGTATGTGTAGAACATCGAATTCGCCCTATACTCGATCAATACTCGGGTAGTTTTTATAGCTATACCCGATCGAGTATATAAGTATACCCGATCGGGTATAGACACTCGAACGTGGGGAAATCTTCTCCTGCATGTTCCTTTGTTTTCGGATCCGATCCGATTTGAAATGTCAACCAGATACCCGATCGAGTATATGTATATACTCGACCGAGTATAGACCAAAATCAGGATTTTTCCTTCTTTTTGTCTTGTATTCTTGCACCTTCCTTCACCATTGATCATTTGATTGATCTTGGACCTGTTTAAGCTCAGAATAAACCTAATCTAAACAATTACAAGAATTTAACAAACTAAACTATTACACCGAAAGTGTGTAATTTCCGAAATATTAAACAACCAAAACTATCTAAAAACGTAAATAAACACACGGAAATTACAAACATATCACTCATACCTCCCTCCCAGGCCCATCCATTTCAAAACAATCCAAAACATCAAAACTCCTCTTAAAAGAAAACAAAAAATGAAACAAATTTTGTAACATATCCCAGACCATAAAATTAAATGTTTGGAGATTAAATAAATTCTATAAACAAAAGAAATAACCCCTTTTCAGATAGAACATGATGAAGCACCAGGATCAGCAGCCAAATAGGGTAGTAATAATAATAGTAGCAGCAGCAGCAACCTTTTCATTCAGAAGTCTTGGTCTTGGACCTGTAGAGAAGCTTCTTCCTCTTAGAAGTCTGGTTGTTAAATGTTAACACCACCTTTCCTGTACTCTCTGCTTTGTAGGTTGTACCAATTATGGTTTCATCTGCTGACCCGATCTTCCTTGGCTTCTCTAGGATGATGGTGTACGCGCCTTCGTCTCCAGGCACGAACTCTGCTCCATAAGACACATCCCACCCTATCACTCTTGCCTCCCAAACCAAACTGGTATTCTGCATAACCAAACGGATCACATAAGAAAGATGCATTGAGGCAAAGGGCCCAAAAAACAATCTTTGAGATTTCGGTTCTGGTTTTTCAGCTGGGCCTGTTGGATCTCGGAACCAGACACAAATATATTCTGATTTTTACAGGTATCAGACTTAACCTCATAGACGAGTTTCATAGAATTATTATTCTATATCTAACCGATGTAAGACAAATACTTTAACAAACCCGACCTTACTCTATAGAACTTTGAGTCGAATACAATAAAATATCATGTTTAACTCAAAATTAACTCGCCTTCTACTCGGCCTGAGCCTAGAATCTAAACAGTTGTGGGTTGGGATTTCACAGAACAGTGAGGATAAGTCAGATATTTCAATTACCTCGGTAACAGGAAATTCGATAGTGTGCTTGGAAGTTGGCTTGATAGTGTCCTCAGTTGAAGCGTCAGCGGTATTGAACTCATAATCTCCCTCTCTGCTAAGCCCACCATATTGAACTGGAACTTGCTCAGGGGCAATGTATCTACAAAAAATCTACCATCTTAACACCCAAAAAAAGAAAAAAATAAATAAAATAAATGATTTTATCATAAGAGAAGACTAACTTGAAGAGGGTTTCAGCCGATTTAGAAGGGCCTGCAAACACAAACTTGCTCTTTGTTCTTATGGTGAAAAGAGCATTGATCATCTTATAGTAGGATGGGTACCACCATGGAACATTGATGAAGACCTTCACATTTAATAAATTGATACATAAATAATTAATTAAATTAATACATAAAAATTAACAAGAACCAACTTTTCAAAGATCCTAAAACATAGACTTTTAAGTTCATTTAATCATCACCACCTTAACCCAACTACTTCACATAAAGCAGCAGGTGACATGCAATTTATAATGTCAATTACTATCTAAAATTAATTGAGTAATTCATGCAAACAATAGTGTTGACCGTTGGAGATAGATTGAAATCTATCATGAGGTTTTTGTTACTTGAAATAGTATAGTACCTAAAGTAATGAATCAGAATTGAAGGAGCTGTTTGAAAATGTTTTATGCTTTTCCTATGTTTGGAATATTTTCCTTATTCCACGATTCTATGATATTTTGTGGCAACAATTTCGTGTTAAAGGGGGAACAGTTTAGTGTTTTCTACTTTAGTGGGTCAATTCAATAATATATTACACATAGATCCCAACCTTTTTCCAGGAAAATATTTCCCTTTTCCAGAAAAACTTTTTCAGAAGAAAACAATTTCTTCGGATAACATTTTCCAAAATAAGTAATTTTCCTGGAAAACAGATGGAGACGCAATAGAAGTTCATCTAATACAAGAACATTACAGATTCAACTAAAACTATCACAGTTATGTCTCAAAAATTCAAATACAGATAGTAGATAGTGGCTATAGTCTCCTTTAGTTGAAAAATATGTTCATTTGATAAAAAGTAATGATTAAACATTTGTAACATGACCAGATCCTATACCTTGTCCCTAAAGATGGTTGTACATGTGTGTATTTACTCATTAACAAAAACACAAATGGATAAAAAGTTTTTTGAATGAACAAAGAAAAACTGATCGATCTAGTCCATGTGACCATACTTAATGAGCTTTCATGCCTACTGGCATGATATGTTCTACCTTCTTGAAAGGTTCAAGCATTTAAAGCTTACAGTGATGCAATCCATGTAAGATTCCCCAGCAAAAGGAACTAAGGGCAAGTGATGAGATTTGACATTTATATAGACCAAAGAACCATAAATCCTCAAACACTATTAGAATGAACAAGAACTAAGTGATAAAAATTAAAACTTTAGGAAAGAAGAAAAGAATTAATTACCTGTTTGGCAACAAATTCAGGATAATTGTCTTGGAGCAACTGAAGGGCTCTGTTAGTGGCCTGGCGAAGCTCTCTCTTGAAGAAGAAAAGTCCAGGTGAGTTCTTGAGATCGATAACCTGAACAAAGGTGCAAATTCCTTCAGGGCTGAAGTCCAGATTCCTGATTGACTTCTCCATGAACTGGATCCTCCATCTCAGGAACCTGTTCAGCTTCTCCTTATCGGAAAAGGTGCTCTGGTACAGCTCCTTGTCCTGAAACTCCCCGAAGGAGTTGTAGCAGATGGGGTGCCCTTCTTTGTCGGAACCGTTCATGTAGACAACCTTTTCCAGGCCTTGACCCAGATCGGATTCTTCCAGGAGCTCGTCGATGTTGAACTGTTTCCGCCACGCGACCACGTTTTTCAGCATCGCGAAGGCTTCTTTCACTTTGAAGTCGCGTGCCCGGAGGAACTTCAGCAGAATCACGTCGCTCCGGTCATCGGCGAGCAGGGGGATTCCCCAGATGGAAACTTGCTCCGGTGGGATTTCGGTGGCGGCGGCTTCTTCTGAGATTGTATCCTTGACTTCCTCCGTCGGTGTGACAGCCGTTTCCTCGATCTTCTCGACGACCACCTCCACCGGCTCCGCCGCGGTTGCTTCGGGTTCTGGGGCAGCTTCAATTTTTTCCTCCGCCTTTGGTGGCTCCTCCACAACCGCCGGGGTCTCGGCTGCCGCTGGGGTCACATCCTCGGTTTCAATCTTCTCCGGTTTTGGTTCCTCCTCGGCTGCCACCGGCTTTGGTTCCTCCTCGGCTGCCACCGCCTTCTTCTCCTCCTCCTTCGCCACCGGCAGGGGCGGTGGAGCCGTAAACTCGTGCTTGTTCAGAGCCTCCTGGATCAACTGTTTGAAATCATCCAAAGCCTTCTTCTCCGGGTTGGGAAGCTCCTCCACCTTATTACTTTCCTCCTTAAACGACGTCGACTCGGTGACGGGACCCTTCTCCTTCTCCTTCTCTCCTTCCGCCGCCGGTTCTTCCGGGACAGCCGATTTCTCGGCTATTTCAGTCTCAGAAGCCACAACCTCCGCCTTCTCTGCTACCGGCACATCGGAAACCACCACGTCTTTGGCATCGGCTGCCGGCGCCTCCGGAGCTGATGTTTTACTTTCTACGGCCATATCACTCAGATCGGAAATTCAAGAAAATATAACCGGAAATTCAAGAAAGTCCGAAAAGATCAAACTTTAAAGGGAATTTCTGACAAAATTCAAATTCAAATTCAAAAGAAGGGAGAACTGTGAGTGAATCGTGGCGAAGGAGGGCTTAATATGGCGTCTGAAGAGGGGGGTGGGGGTGCGACAGGGGTGGGGGTGGGGGAGGAACAGCTCAGTTCGCCAGCTTGTCTGTACAGTACAGAAGTGGGGCCCTCTTTCTTTCTTAATACTGCTTCAACGTTAGTAGTGCCTAACAATCATTGTAACCCCCAAACTTTATCCTAATTCTTGGTTGTCAGCCATAATTACTTCCTTATAATCCGCATTTATTCAAATTGATCACATTTTCAGACAATTTTGGTGATTTATTTGTGTGATATACTCTCTCCGTCCCTAATAACTTTGCCAAGTTTGACCGGCACGGGAATTAATAAAGTAAAAACTGTGTGGTTGAGGTTTGTGCAGAGGAGAGAGAATTAACTGGAACCACAAATTCTTTACTTAAATGGGAAAGTGGCAAAGTTATTGGGACATCCAAAAATGGAAAGTTGGCAAAGTTATAAGGGACGGAGGGAGTATTTCTGAGACACTAGGCAGCGCCAAGTCGCTATGAGAGTGCCTAGCATGATATGTCTGCTGTTCATTCCAAGCCGTTGGGAAACGTTAGTCCAAGCTCTATTTCCTTTAAATAAAATCACTTTTTGAGAAATAAGTGATTAATAGTAAAAATTAGTAGTGTTTGGTAAAATAAGTGTTTTTTTTATACTGTAATAGAAAAAGTAAAAAATAGATTCTACACGAAAACCGGGAAAGTAAAAGTTGGTAGTGTTTGGTAAAATAAGTTTTTTTTTTTAAAAAAACCTCAATCACTTATTTTAAGTGATTGCAAACAAAGTCTAATACGGACTACAAAATTGATTTCTCAAAATATTTTTGAAACATTTAGAGCCCGTTTGGTAGCACGAAAATCGGCTGATTTGACCGATTCTGCTGAAATTTGTAGTGTTCTGGCTAAAGTGACTACATTGATTGATTTTGCTGATTTAAAAAATAAAATATAATATATTTTATTAATAAATGGAAAAAATTATATTTAAAATAGTTAAAATGATCATCTACAATTACTTCAATCAACAGTGGCGAATGTCCTTTATGCAAGGGTGTTCACATGAACACCCAAAAATAAAAAACAATAGGAATATGTATATTTGAATTAGAGTAATAATTTGTTTAATAGTATTTTAAAGAGAAAATGTGTAATTTTGAACACCCAAAATCTAATTACTAGGTCCGCCACTGTCAGTCAATGCAACAAAAAAAATAACTTTAACTTTACTTTTTCTGCTTATTAAACAATTCAACGCGTGAAAACAAAATTACATATTTGGTAAAAAAGTTGACTGATAATCTTGATAAGCCAAAAAAACTATGTGGCCAAACGACCTCATAAATTATATCAAAACGTTAAAATTTACTACGTATGAAACTCCTGAATTGGCAAAACACAAAAGTTCGTGAGATCCTGGTAGTAGACCTGCACAAAAGCAGGCTCGGGCCGGGCTCAGGCCGGGCTTTTCATAAGTTTTCTGCCCATCGTGTGTGGGCGGGCCCGGCCCGGCCAGAAAAAATGGGCCTAACCCCATGTCCATACCTGCCCGTAAGAGCGGGCCGGGTAGTCCACCGGGCCGCCAGGCTCGGGAAAACTTTAAATTTTCAAAATTATATAATTTTAATAATACTTTATAAATAATATTAGAACATTTAAAAAATTGCTAATACGCTTATAATGTATATAGGCTCTTCATCACATACACAAAAAATAATAATGAGAAACTATATCTAAAATTTAAAATTCAATCACAAAGTATTATCTTTAAGTACAAAAATATATATTACATTGGTTGGACTATTTGTTAAGAACTAAAAACTTGGATTTAAACATAATAAACTATAAATATGTATACATATAAATTAGTACATGTAAAATATACATGTGTACATGTAAATAAATACATAAATTAGTACATATAAAAATATATATGTATATATACTAAATGTAGCGGGCCGGGCTTATCGGCCCGAACGGGCCTATACCCTATCCCAAGTCCGCCCATATGTTGTTGCGAGCCGGGCCGGTGGGTAAATATATATGCCCAAGCCCGCTAATTTGTACAGGCGGGCCAAGCGGGCTGGCCCGGTTTTGTACAGGTCTACCTGGTAGGACTCCCGGTGAATTAGATGAAAAATTAAGTACTTGGTAGGACTCTCGGTGAATTTGATGAAAAATTATATTTAAAATATACTATCATCATCCCACTATATTTGGAACAGGAGGGTATGACACAACTTTTAAGAAAAAATGAAATTGTGTAGTTGATATTGAGAGGCCGTTTGACAACACTATTTTCCGACTTATCAGGCTTATCAGCCAACTTTGTCACCAAGCACATAACTTTTACTTTCGCGCGTTGAATTGTGTAATAAGTAGAAAAAATAAGGTTGTAGTTACTTTTCTGGCTGTAGTGGCTGAATTTATTGTAGATGATCATTTTAACTATTTTTACATATAATTTATTCTTTATTTTATTAATAAAATATAGTTTAAAAATATTTTTTTCCTAAGTCAATAGAATCAGCCAATACAACCACTTCAGCCAGAACTTCATAAATTTCAGCAGAATCAGCCAAATCAGCCAATTTTCGTGCTACCACACGGGCTCTGAATCGATAAAGTGTGAATAAAGTAAGGATGACTTGTAGTCATTGTTCTAAAAATCGGCCTAGGCGGACCGATTAATCAGCCTAGGCGGCCTAGTCGACCGTCACTGTAGAGGCCGAGTCGGCCTAGTCGGTCAAAAAATCGGCCTAGTCGGCCAAAAAATCGGCCTAGTTGGCCGCCTAGGCGCGAGGCGCCCCTCAACCGCCCGACTAACGCCTAGCGAGTTTTAGAACAATGCTTGTAGTCATCCAAATATTACCAAATATGGTACTGCACAAACTTAATGAGATGGACGAAAAAGTAAAACGGGACAAAGTTACGGGGATGAAGGGAGTATTTTGTTAATAAAATGAAGAAAAAATATATTTTCTTTTTTTTTTTATTTGCTAGAGCCACTTCCCTTTTAAAGAAGTATTTTAATTTTGATATTTTTTGAAAATGAGTAAAAACATTTTGAAATTTCAAAATATGAGCACTAAAACTTGTGTTCCCTAAAAATAATTTAACTAAATAGAGTAAAACATACAGTATTCTTTTTCCCTAAATAAGACATGTTTCCATGAATATTACTTGATGGATAGTCTACCCGGGGTATCTTATCCGAGGGGTTATTGCGGGAATAACTAGAGAGAAGTCAGAGCAAAATAGGAGAGAGAGTCGATTTATTAAATGAACTCTGTGTGCTTTACAAGGAGAATAAGGGCTGCTATTTATAGCAGCAATAAATGTGATGGGAGTACATGCGTCAGTAATCCAAGGGCCGAGGGGTCACATCAATCGGGGTGGCACCGGCAGTGGCATGTTCACCGCATTGAATGCGGTGGGTGGATGTGACGTCGCATTAAATGCGGTGGTTGGTTGTCTCAAAAGGGAATCTTCAATGATTGAGTCCGTTTAGCCGAAGACTCCTCTCGTGGCCAAGGGCTCCGTGTGGCCGAAGGCTCTGTGTAGCCGAAGGCTTCTATGATGCCGAGGGCCTGGTTCAGCCGAAGGCTTCTATGATGCCGAGGGCTCCACAGTACCGAAGGCTTCTCGTTTTCTTCCGTTTTCTCCCAGTAGCTTCGTATGCCCAAAAAGGCTATTCTGTGAGTTTTGGGGCCTTCGGTCAAGGTGGCCGAAGGCACCCCAGTGTGTGTCTTGGACTTCCTTGAACTTGGGCCACTGTATTTGGGCCCTAGAGGCTCCTTGGGCTTGTTGGGCCTGTGATAGATTAGTAGGAGTCTGTGGGTCGGGGGTTAATGGGCCATATACTCCATCATTACTAAATTAAATTCAAAAGAAAAAAATATGACTTATTTTAAAATTTTCCAAAAATTGACATATTTAGTAACTAGTTCACAATGACCTGTCATTTCCAGTGACTTGTATTTCTAAAATATTCTATAGTGACTCTTAGGGCTGGGACCGGTTCGGTTCTTACTCAAAATGAGTGGAACCGTTATAAAAGTTTTAACTAATGAAATCGGTTCGGTTCCTATATAAAAAATCAAGAACCGTTATGGAACCGAACCGGTAGTAAACGGTTCGGTTCTTCCTTTTACCGGTTCCTAGAATAATTTTTTCTCGTCTAAGAATTAACACATAATTTTAAACACGTCGAAAATTCAAAACACGAGTATTAAAACTTTATTTGAAGCTCTAATCACTTCAAACATCAAAGCTCAAACTTAACTAATGAACTTTGAACACTTAATAGAACAAAAGTGATTTAAATTTTCATGTAAGAAATGAAACATTAAAAATCGTTGTAGTGTCAGAGCGATGAAGGTTACTCGTCATCATAGTAGCAAGAATAGGACGCCTACTTCAAGTCGTTCAAAACATAAAAAAAAAAGACATTGAGTTTGCATGTATAGATATAAAAAAACATTATTACATTCTATTGATTCATAATAAATCTAATAATTAAAAATATCATGAAAATAGTAAAGTAAAATATGTGCAATCAACTACAAGTTATTTGGGTTATTTTATATTTATAAAATTTATGTGATGGAACAAAACTTGATTTGTACAAAGGAGTTTAATGTATTATATCAACCACATGTACAATATTTATTACTTCTTTTCCGTTGATTAAATTAGAATTGTTAGTTAAATATCTTATATTTTTTTTATTATTATTGTTGTTGTGGTGGTGGTTATTATTGCTATTATATTATTATTATTATTATTATTGTTACTACTACTACTAATATTATTTTATTTTTTATTTTTTTAATAACGGTTCCTTAACGGTTCCATGCACATATTTTTTATAGGAACCGGGAACCGAACCGTTATAACCCGCTTCGGTTCGGTTCCTACAAATGAGGCATTAATTGTTAACGGTTCGGTTCCTAGATGTTGTTAATAGTTCGGTTCCAATCGGTTCTACGGTTCCCGGTTCCAAAACCCCACCCCTAGTGACTCTTACACAGTAACTAGTCATATTTTTTGTCCAAAAACATAACTAGTCATATTGTTGTCCGGTGGAACTCTATTAGTAATATACATGTCCTTTTTTCAAATAATTAAAGAATCCATATTTATACTTCTTAAATAGGGTTAAACATTACTCCGTATATTTCTACCGTTAATGCAATTA